GAAAAATTAAAAGTATCAATTTTTCTTGAAAATAAAAATTTTAAAATGCTTTAAGAAAAAGTTAAAAATATCAATTTTCTTTGTACAAAGGCATGAATTTTTTTAAAATAAAATAAAGCAAAATAATAAAAGAGATCCTTTATAAAAGGTTGAAGCATTATTCCTTTTTTTTTCTTTTCTTTTATTGGAAAGTTTTTAATTTGACAATGAAGCTCCTACAAGAGAAATAATCGTTTTCTTGTATATTCATGAGGTGAGAAAATTTTTTTAATTTTTTACCAAAAGTATTAAAGTTAATTAAAAATAATTTTCAATAACTAATTATCTGATAAGATTTTTAAGGCTTAATGGATAACATGAAATAAAACTGGTACGATCCTTTGATGGGTATTATGAGGGTGTTATAACATTCTTCACACGTAACCGTACTCTCGAACTTAGTTCTAATTTTGTAGACATTAAATCTATTTTTTAAAGATACTTAAGTTAAACTTAAGATTTCTCTTTAAAAATGGATAGATTTAATTAGGTCGTCAATCACATCTAAACAAAAATAATTAGTGACGATTCTTTAAGTTAATGTCTAGCAATAAATTCATCGACCTAAAGGTTATGTTATGACATATGATTCCAAGCTATTTCAGTCTTGTTTGGTAATCCATTGAACATGAAAAATTTCAATGCTTTAATTTTTTTTTTCAATGTGTTTGACAACACATTTGAAGATTCACTTAAATGAATTTTTTCAACAAAAAAGTATTGCATAAAATAAGTAGGTATAAATTTACTTCTCAGTTAAAGCAGAAAATGTTTAGTAAATTTTTTAAAATTTTTTTTGAATTATTATCTCTTAAAAACACTACATTATTGGCAATGAAAATAAAGGTAAAATGATAAAATGATAAATTTTTAGAATTTAATATTTTATTGTTATCAAATAATATATTTATATTCAATATTTAATTTTCAGTAAAATACTAAACAGTTCTTTTAATTTAAATTCAGGACTTATCAAATTTAATATTAAAAATTTAATACTTAATTTTTCAGCATTTAATTTTTTAATTTATGAAACTGAACCTAGTTATATATTCTTTTCTAGTTATTCTTCCCTTTTTATCCGCTTATAAAGATTGATGTGGCAGTTTTAGTAAAATATATAAATGGCATGGAAACTCATATTCCAATTAAGTGAGAATGGTTATATATTCATGTGAAGAGTGTTATGATATCTTGTTAATTCTCTCAATTTGGGAAAAAAGTTGTATTTAATTACATAAATCTACTTACACAGTATGAATATTGTGAATGATTTCATGGGACAATAATGCGAAAGATGTTAGGATATATATAATATATCTACAACAAAATGACATTAGAATCTGGTTTCTTGATGTCAGGTTTTTTAATTTTTTTTTTTGGTCGAACAGGTTTTTGAATCCAGGTTTTGGAATTCAGATTCTTGTAGCTAGAGAACAACTTCAGGTTTTTGAATTTGTCTTCGAGTTGCAGGAATCTTAAAACTTTGACTAATGTAATTAAGTATGAAGAGGGTACAACTACCGTTATACGGTCATCATTGTATTACAATTTTTTAAGCTAAAGCAAGATGATAACACAACTTAATGGTAAAAGATCACGAGTATGCAATACCTAAAAAGACTGTTTTCTCAACACTCAAAAGGATTCTCGAGTTTTGCCAAACATCAAGGATCCTCTTCCCATGGACTCACGTGATGACATTGTTAATTATGAACCTTAGTATTTTGCCCTAGCTGACATTGTTAATGAACCTTAGTATTTTGCCCTAGTTACTTGCATACAACATGGATTAGAATAACCTTCAACTACAGCCAAAAAAACAAATAACTTCTTCTTTTAACGAGCTGGTTGTCTTTCTGAGTGTAGTTTTACTAATATTTTGTAGCCACATCTCTCCTTAAAAGTTGAACAAGCTAATTAACTCTAATACTTTGAAGAAGGAATATGGAAAGTCGGCATCAAGGAAATGTGGACCACCCAAATAAAGCCTAAGAAAAGCAACCTATTAATTTGTTTAACATGTATAATTGAGAATCATCCTGAGCAATTGAAGTTTGACAGCATCTTAGCTTTCCAAGTTTAAAATGCTGAATTTTTTTATTTGCTCTAAAGCATAAGGTTTTTGCAAGTAGCATATTTTTTCAAGTTTAAATTGCCTTGGGTTACACGTCCACATGCGTTTAAAATGTTGAATTTTTTTATAAGTTTATATTTGATGCATTATCAGTATATAAATTCTATACATTATAAGTAAATCAAATGATAATAACTTTTTAATGAACAAATATAAATTTTTAAAATAAATATGCAAAAATTAAAATTTTTTAAAAAGCTTATTCATTAATGAAATGTTATAATCTTATTCACTTCATTAATAAATTGTTATTATCTAATTTATTAATAATATATAAAATTTATACATTGATAATATATTAAATATAAACATTTTTTTATTTGCTCTAAAGCACAAGGTTTCTGCAAGTAGCATATTTTTTCCCAGTTTAAAGTGCCTTGGGGTGCACATCTGCATGCGTTTCAAATGCTGAATTTTTTTACTTGCTCTAAAATACAAGATTTTTGCAAGTAGCATATTTTTTTATTCGCTCAATTATATTTGTTTATCAAATAAAAAAATGAACTTGATTTTTTTGTTCGATTTAAAATTTGATTATATATATTCGAATTCGAGTTTGAATTCAAATTTATATATATTCATATATATATATATATATATAAAAGATAAAATAATAATTTTTAATTAAAATAATAAAAATATATCATAAATATAAAATATTTATTAGATTCGTGAGTTATTCAAGTTAAACATTAAGAAACTTGAACTTGGTTCGCTCAAAAAATCAAATTACTAGAATTAAATTTTATAATAATTAAATTAAATTTAAATTTTATTCGAATTAAATTTAAATAATTTATAAGTATCAATATATCATTTATATTATTAGTAATTATCTCGAAGTACGCATCCACGTGTGCTTAAAATGCAGAAATTTTTTATTTGCTCCAAAGCACAAGGTTTTTACAAGTACATATTTGTACTTTTTCTTTTTTTAACAAGTTGCTTTTGGCTTTGTACTAGGTTTATTAGAGCTTGGATTTAAATATGTAGGATAGGTACTACTAGGATATTAGAATGTGCAAACAAACATCTTCGATGCTAGCTAGCTCTATGCTTTGCCTTTTATAAGTTTCTCTAACACAATGAAGAACTACAATTTTTGTGTTCTGGAAACTAAGTGTAAACTAAATAATGCAAACCAATTTTCCTTCAACTGTCGATAGAGAAAACCTATAATAAATGATTCATCAACTCCCCATGTATGGAAACTAAAGATTGCTGCTTAACAACAGTGGAAAATGAAAGTAGAGAGAAGGCTGCAGTTATGATTTTATCCTGATGTCTTAATTAATGCAACAAAAGAAGGGGGCAGCTATAGTTTTTGTATGATTTTCTATATGTTTGTGACTATTTAATTAAAATATCTTAGCTCATTTTCTCTCCAAAGTTCTAATTGTAGTTTTAATAGGGTTACGTGGAAAACCAAAATACTATATTGATGGGACCCATATATTTGTAAGAATTCAACAGTGGGATCAAATCATGTTGGGGTATGTGATGTGAAGGTACTTTCCATCTACATATGATATATCTACGTAGTCCAAATCATACATTGAAGTCATTTAACCACAAAGTTCTGTTCTCCCCCTATTGTTGATTAGTTCAGTAGGTTATCGGTTTTCTTAATTTTGCTAAAATTATGGTTGGTTCAATCTGCCAAGATTGCTACATGTTCATACTCCATTTTGTCTTAACTTTCTTATTTAATGTTTTGCAATTTCTCAACTAAAACTTAGAAAAGTTTGGAAGGGAGTTTACATGACACTTTAGGGTTGGATTTCAAACCTTATAAGAAAGTTCGTTGCATGCTAGGTGAAGCTCAAAAGAAAATTTAATAATTTTAAACACAATATGGTAATGTAATATGAAAACAATAAAAAAGAAAACACAGAAACAAGAGTGCCACTTTCTGTGCAAAGAAAAAAAGGATGGGGTTTCAATATTTTGCTCTTGGCTTCTCCAAATTATGGATGCATAATAAGCTGGATTTGTGAAGCTCTGCCTATCACAGATAAAAGAGCAAAAGAAGGATAAAGCATTAATACATTTGACCCTATTATTATCCACAACTGATTCTTGAACTGGAAATAATTAGTTGGATTGGGGGAGGGATGTTACAATTGATATATATCAAAATATATAGGGGTAACTTGATATTTTTCCCATTGTGGGTGTACAATGCAGTGCAGAAATGGGCAAATGTAGGAGAGGACATACCAATTTCAAGGAAAAAGGGTTCTACTCAATAAACCAGGTCTAGTTGACAATATGACTGATTAAGAATTTATCTACCACATTTTGAAAAAAAACCACTATTACCATTTAAAAGAAAAGTACTTCATTATATTTATACAAAATCACAGATGCGATGCACGTATTGTATGGCAATAAATAATGTCGTGTCCAGCTCGGGCTTTCCAAGTTTCAAGTCGTGAAAGCGGCTATAGATTGGCTAAAAGAGTTCTTTTTTCTTACAAGTTTCAAGCCACTAATTTTCTTTCATCAATGGCAACTGGTGAGATGCTGTGGTTTCTACAAAAAATTTTATCAAATTTCAGCATCACTTATTGCGCATTAGTTTCACTCGTATATATTCTGAATTGCACATAAAATTATGTTAGTAAGCGCACTCAATATTTGCATAAACTTGCATTCCACGACTTGGTTCAAAACGACATAATTTTTTGTTCAAAGAGCAGAGCTCGAATTCCTTCTTTCCCAAATAAACAAATTTATCTTATATAATTTTATATATTATTTATGTAAAATTTCTAATAATCGTGATTGATATTTGAGCAAAATCTTGTCATGGATTGATCAGATGGAAAGCTTGTTACAATTCTCAGCATTGATGGAGGAGGAGTGAGAGGCATTATTCCTGCGACAATCGTTGCCTTCCTCGAACTCCAACTCCAGGTTGGCTAGCTTCTGATCACTCTATATATCAAGCAGTTGTAGTACAAATGTATCTTTATAAACCATATTTTTCTGTATATATTTGACTAGTAGTACAACAATTTTTAATACTTTTTCTTGAACAGAAGTTGGATGGTGACAAGGCAAGGATTGCAGATTACTTTGATTTCATTGCTGGGACTAGCACTGGAGGCCTTGTTACAGCCATGCTCACCTCCCCAAATGATGAAAATCAACCAATGTTTACTGCAAAACAGATCATTGATTTTTATCATGAACACTGTCCACAAATCTTTCCTCATGGAAAGGCAGCAAAACAAGAAACAACGTTGGTTGCTTATTCAAAGTTAATTTTTAGCACGTTTCCTCCAAATTCGAGAATGGTAAAAGCTCGGGGAAATAATGTTTTGTATTTGATATATATATATATATATCTCTACTTCTTGAGGTAGGTTTGGAGCCGCTGAAAGAAATGATATTCTGGAAATTTTGAAGAAAATCTTTGGCGCTTTAAATAAATCTATCGATTGGATCTACACAAATGCAATGCTTCCCAAATATGATGGTAAAAATTTGAAGGAAATTATCAGAAAATTGCTTAAACAGACAAGGCTCCGTCAGACTCTAACCAATGTGATAATCCCCTCTTATGATATCAAGCTTCTCCAACCCATAGTTTTCTCCACCTTAAAGGTCAATCTTCGGTTCTGCAATCCTTGTGCTCAACATATAGGGTAGAACTGTTAGGATCCAACGGAAAATTGATTCAGTTTTTGTTACCTATAATAGTTTATTTTCAAATGAATTATTTCAGGCGAGACGTAATGATTTAGAGGATGCTCAACTAGCAGATATTTGTCTCAGCACTTCTGCAGCACAATATTACCTCCCTCCTCATAAATTTAAGATCAAGTCGAGAACATTCAACATGGTCGATGGTGGTGTTGCAGCCAACAATCCGGTAAAGTATTTTATTTTCAAAAACAATGTTGTAATTAATCACCTATATATGTTATATATGTTATGTTTTTGACAATTTTTTATATTAATTTTTAAGATTCAAAGTCTCACATTCAATATGGACTTATAATTTAATTCAGTTGATTTATGCAATTATTAAAAGAAATGACATCAGGTAGTCATGGAATTTAAATTTTAAAAACTATAACTATTTTTTATCTCGTGCTATGAATGTTTTTTAAAAAGAAAATCTCATACTCGTGAATAGTGAAATATAAAAAATATCGGACCCAGATACGTTAAGGTCAAGTGAAAATTGCATGTAACATAGGCAATCACTTTTTTCCATCACACATATATAGTACATCCTTGATAATTCTCACTTAATTAACTGCCTTGGACAAATTTATCAGACATTGCTAGCAATATCAGAGGTTGCCAAGGAGAAGTATTTAGAAGGAAAAGCTGAATGCTTAAGCAACATAGATCACAGCAAACTTCTTGTTCTCTCTCTTGGAACTGGATCATCGAAAAGAAATAACAAGCTTGAGGTTGGGAATCAATCATGGGGACTCATTGACTGGGTTGTGGGGCCTAATAATAGCAACGCCATCTCTGATGTTCTCCTGACTGCAATAGATGATATGGTTCACATATATTTATCTGCTTTCTTTCAGGGCACCAGTTTCAAAGACAATTATCTGCGAATTCAGGTATTGCTTTCTGGACATTGATTTTTTTTCCACTCTTCAGCCTTTCAAATTTTTAGTATATTTATGCCAGCTACTTGTTTAAATGGTGAGTCCATTTCAGTTCCTATTATAATCATCCGTCTCCCGTTCTTGACAAATTATAGGAACTTTTGCTAAATGAAATTTTCCATAGTTACATTTTCTGGTAACCATACACACTGTCAAAACGCTTACTCTTTGTTGGTATTGGACCAGACTGATAGCTTGAAAAGTAGTGAAGCCATTATGGACAATTCTAACAAAGAAAACCTTGAAAATCTCGAGAAGATTGGGAATGCGCTTCTGAAAGCGCCTGTTTCTGAAGTGAACTTGGCAACGGGATTACTTGAATCAGTTCGAGGGGAAGACTACACAAATGAAGCAGCACTCATCAAGTAAGACTATTAAGATTGTATGAAATCTTGTCTCTGCAATTAGCGCATGGTACCAGCAATCTATCCTGGTTTTGATCAAAATGCTCTTGGTTGGTGTTGAGCAGGTTTGCCGAACGATTGTCAGCCGAAAGGAAGCGTCGCCAGGCTAGAAGCTCCAACGGGTACCAGTGAGGTACATGATCCATTGATCAACACTTTCCCTAGTTCAAATTTCCTTGAAGAATGACCATAATAAATTCTCCTTCTTGTACGTATACAAGGAGGGATGGTGTTTCGTAGTTCTTAAGGTCCACTTTCAGTCTTTCATCGTTGTTCAAATCCATTCCCTTCTGTTTGTCTGTGTTGTTGTAATAAGGTCACGGAGCTATAACTGAACTTGGGAGGTAGTCCCGGTCAAGCATAAGAGTCGTCTATGTTCTGTTATTATAATTAATTGTGATGCAATCTTTAAACCTTCACACTTTCCTGCAGCCTGGATCAACTGTATGGCAAGCTTCGAAGCCTTAGCATAAACTTGGTGGGGTTCTTGATATTCAATGCAATCTTATGCATTACCTCTTTAACTTGCATGTGTCTCTGAGGCATCTGTTGTCGTCTTAGATCTCAATCACCTTTTTGGAAGTTCAATGCATAACTAACCAGTTATTTAGTAAAAAAAAATCCAATTCAATTTGAAGGGAATTCTGCTGCAAAATCCCAAAATTACCATCTAAAAGCACATTCTTAGCATCCAAAAAGCAAAACCCAAATTCAATTTCCACTTCATAAATAGTAGTAAATAAAATTGAAAGAACTAGATTTCAAAATCAAATGAAAACATAAATTTACCAACCCACATAAAGAAAATAAAAAACAATAATTGTACATTTGGATATATATATATATATATATATATATATAGAGAGAGAGAGAGAGAGAGAGAGAGAGAGAGAGAGATTTTTGGTTTATGGGCTTTGGGTTATGATTTACAAATTGGGCTATTCTCTTCCTTTACCACAATAGCCCATTTTTGTTTTAGGCTTTGGTGTTGATTCGTTAGTAAAATTGATATGACTCACTAAACTTATATATATATATATATATATATATATATATTTGATTCTCAAATCTTAATACTTTTGGAAAAGAAGCTATTTAATAATTTTATAATAGCTATTTAATATTTATTAAGAGATTTTATTAATGATTATTTATAGATATCGGATAAGAATAGTTAAATTATTATTTTTAAAAAAATTAAATTATTATTAAAAAATCGGTTAATGGGTCTTATAGATACCATTTAAGGTAGTGAAAAATGCTATTTTAGAAAATATTTTTATATTTAATGCATTATTTTCACCAAATTCAATAAAAAAATAATAAATGTATTATAAATTTATTTCCTTAAATATCATCATAGTTAACATTTTCCTCTAAATTTTTTTTTTCATTTAATGCACTATTTCAATAAATTCAAGAGAGAACAAAGAATTAATTAAATATTTCTTAATTTCCTTAAATATCACATTAACCCGTATCACTAGATACGTACTAACTAACATTTTCCTTTATTAAGTGTTCTTTTATGAAACATGCAACTCAACTCATCTTATGATCAGTTTCTATTTTGTAAAATTTTTTATTCAAGAAAATAATTTCGAAACTTACTCTTTGAATAAAGAATTATTATGCAATAATTATTAAATAAATTGTTCGGATACTATTTTATAAAATTTAAATAAATAAAAATTATTTTCATAAAAATATTCCAAAGGGTAAAACTTAAAACTTCATGTTAAAAGTCTCATTATATAATCCAATATCATCAGTTTCAAATATATACAAATTATGAGTACTGGTAACCCTCCAACTTGATTACTTAGTTAATTATCCTATTAGTAAGAGAAGAGAAACTAAAGCTTTGTAGGTGCATTGTTCTTCAAATAGATTAGAATTTAGCATCCTTAAAAACAATTGGAATTTTCCTTTCTCTCATGTCAAATATTAAAACTAGTTAGTACAATTGAGGCTTAATTCTATACTTTCTCTTCTCAAAAGTAGCTTTTAATTGCATTCTATATAAATCTTCGCGCATGATAAATTTCACCAAGTCAAGAAATTACGCGCGCCGTGATTTTGTACCATCTGAAGCACAAAGATGAAACCTTTATATTAAACTTTGATTATTAATATTGGAAGAAGGATCCACTTATATTAATAGAAATGTTATACTTTTTTAACCCTTCGGATTAATTTTGAGACTTTTACCTATTAAAAACTATAATTATTTTAATAATTAATTAGCAGGTTAATTACAGTAATAGTTCCCAGTGAAAGTTCAACTACTCAAGCCTGTTAAACTGACTAGTGGCTTAACTTGTGATGTAAACACCATATTTTATAAATCAAAATCCAACCATTTTGTAAAATTTACAACATCATACTTTGACATTCTCAATAAGGAATTTGATGATAAAAAAAGTAATCAATTAATTAAAACTTTGTTTTTAACTCCACTAGCATGTTTAAATGATTAGCACATGTTTCATTTTTTTAACTCTAAGACATTCCAAACCATTAAATTTGGAAGTATCATCTTAGATGTTCCATTTTGAAATTTTTGAAATGTACAAGGTGAAGTTTATTGAAATAAAAAATATATTTCCTACATGTAACTCGAAATTTCCAATTATAAAAACAAACGGAAATGAATTTGCAAGAAAGACAGAATGGAGATCGGTTGGTGGGGAAGAAAGAATGTTAATGTGTTGAGTACTTAAGAGTAACCTTTGAATGGGCTGGTAAGAAGGATGGTCATGCAATGAGGGTTGGCATTGGCAACTACTTTTATTTTGCTAAAATATATACATCTCTTTACAATCTTGTTAAACACTTTAATTAACACTTCTTCAATTTGTTTTTCCTTTTTTAATGACAAAAAGTTATATATGATTAATTTATGTATATATAAAAAAAAGCTTTATATGATTCCAAGCTATACCGGTCTTGTTTGATAATCCATTGAAAATGAAAATTTTCAACGTTTTAATTTTTTTCAATTTGTTTGACAAGACATTTTAAAATTCACTTAAAAGAATTTTTTCAATCTAAAAGTATTGAATAAGATAAGTAAGCATAGATTTACTTATCACTTAATGCAGAAAATGCTTCATAAATTTTTTTTTTTAAATTGAATTATTATCCCTTCAAAACAGTACTTCATTATTGGAAACGAAAATAAAGGTAAAAGGTAAAATGATAAAATTTGAGAATTTAACATTTTATTATTAGCAAATAATATATATTTATATTCCGCATTTAATTTTCAGTAAAATATTAAACAATTTTTATAATTTTAATTCAATACCTATCAAAATTAATATTAAAAATTTAGTACTTAATTTTTCAATATTTAATTTATTAATTTATGAAACTGAACTTAGTTAATTCTTTTCTCGTTATTTTTCTTTTGTTTATCATCATATAAAGATTGATGTGGCTGTTGTAGTAAGATATATAAATGGCATGGAAACTCATATTCCAATTAAGCAAGAATGGTTATATATTCATGTGAAGTGTTTTTATGATATCTTGTTAATTCTATCCTTTTGGGGAAAAAAATAACAACACTAGTTTTTATAACTAAAATAGGCTCTCATGAGAATCGAACTTTCGTTAAAGAAAAAAATATCAATTTCCTTATAAATTGGATTAATCGATCAAACTGGATTAATCGATTTTAATTTGTTTTAAAAAATGTTATCACAATTATAAAGAAAATGCTAAATAGTAATATAAGCACATCTTTTGGAATTAAAAAAAAAATCTCAAATTTAAGTACTTTTAATGAATAATTAAGTTGAAGACTTGATTAAGTTCATTTGATTAATTTATTAATTATTATAAAAAATTGTATATAACATAGAAGACTAAACTTTAAAATTGATAATATAAAATATGACATGAAAATGATATGAATAAAAAGCACGAAAATGACATCGTTTAAAATTTTAACAAAAATTATATATAAATTTAATAAAATTAAAAAATATTTTTCATATTTTTATGTTAATATAAATTATAATATATACTTTTTGTATAAAATATATTATAAATATATAAATTATTAGTATTTTACACGATAAAATATCAAATCTACTAAACTTTGGAGCGTCTAAACCTACAAAATCAATAATATATTTATAATGATATCATTTCCAACATGCAATGGCTAATATTTGAGATTGAAATATTACATGATATGTCTTTGCATCAGCTACACTATGTCGAGACAAGAGCAAGAAGTAAGGCGTGCAACCCACTTTGTCACGCGCACATGAATGACCCCACTCTCTTATCAACATAAAATAAACCCTAAATTTCTTATTAGTTTCCAAAGAGAAAATTAGAGAGAGATTTTGTATAGAAAATATGCAAATAAGCCACAGCTCCCTAACACCTTGACACACCCAAAACCAAGGCAAAAATAGAAAAAGAAAATCCAACAAATTCTTGGAAATAGATCTCTCTTAGCCCTTTGCCCTTTTCAATTCTTTAGCTTTGATCAGTTTCAGTTTCACTGCTTTCCACTAGCTTCTCTCTCTTTCTGAGCTAACTTTTCAAGAGAGTTGAAATTTTCTAAATTTGCTTTCTTTCTCTTGTTATTCCATCTTTGAATCATCCCTAGTCAAGATCATTAGCCAAAACAAGATCCAAACCCAGTTTTCTATTGCTTTATAATCTTCTGTTTGTTAGTTGAAAAACTTCAAAGAGCATGGCTAATCGATGGTGGGCAGCGCAAGTAGGATCACTACAAGGAATGGAAACATCAGCTACTTCATCATCTCTGATGAACAAACCAGATCTGGGTATATCCGTGACAAACAATGGAGAAACAGGAAGTGGAGGAACTGGTGGAGAAGAAGAAGAAGAAGAAAAAGAACATAGCGATGAGCCTAGAGAAGGAGCTATAGAAGTTTCCACTCGTCGTCCTAGAGGTCGTCCACCAGGCTCCAAAAACAAGCCCAAACCACCCATTTTTGTCACTAGAGATGGCCCTAATTCACTAAGAAGTCACGTTATGGAAATATCTAATGGTTCTGATGTAGCTGAAACCCTAGCTCAGTTTGCTAGAAGAAGGCAAAAAGGGGTTTGTGTTCTTAGTGGAAGTGGAACTGTCACTAACGTCACACTCAGGCAACCTTCTGCTCCTGGTGCAGTCATGGCTCTTCATGGTAGGTTTGAAATTTTGTCTTTAACTGGTGCTTTTATGCCTGGACCAGCTCCTCCAGGGTCAACTGGGTTAACAATATACCTAGCGGGTGGGCAAGGGCAGGTGGTTGGAGGTAGCGTAGTAGGGTCACTGGTGGCATCAGGGCCTGTTATGGTAATGGCAGCAACTTTTTCTAATGCTACTTTTGAAAGGTTGCCTTTGGAGGAGGAAGAAGAGGGAGCTGGTGGGCCTCAAGGGCAGCTTGGTGGTGGTGGGAGTGGCGGGTCGCCACCAGGGATTGGCAGTGGCAGTGGAGGTCATCATCAAGGTGGGATAGGTGGTGGTGGTGGTGGTGATGGTTCAGGATTGCCAATTTACAACGATTTGCAACCAAATTTGGTTCCTAATAGTGGACAGTTAAACCATGAGGCTTATGCTTGGGCACATGGTGGAAGGCCCCCATACCAGTAAAGAGAAAGTAGAATAGAAAATGCTTGTGAGAGGAAAGGGATTATCTTCATCAGGTATCTAATTTCTATTGAGCTGTTCTGATGGGAGAGAGATATATATAAATATTAAAGAAAGAAAAGCTGGGACCAATATTTTGTAAATTTTACAACAAACCAGACATGCTTTCACTTGCATTTGCAGAATAAAATTTTTTGTTTCTTACACTTTCCTTCTCTTTTTTTTTTTTTTTCATTTTTTAAGCTGATGATGGTGGTACAAGTGTGGGGGCTAAAGCAAGATTAATAGCTTTGTTTAGTGCCTTGATCATCTTGAGAAAAATTTTGTTACTTTTCATTATTTATTTGATATATTCTAGATATATAATACATATATCACATATAGGAGGGATGGAGTCAATTTTAATTAGGCTAAAAAACTGCTGCCATGATACTTATTTATATATGATTTTCATATCATAATTTTTCTGTTTTGAAGCAAAAATTTGACGGAAAATACACTAATTAATTTCTAAAGTTGTTTATCAATGTCATGCTATAGCAAAGCAATTAAATAATCATTGCTCACAAAATTAAAGGGATCAAACATCAATTCTTTTTCAATGGAACAAGTGCATAATCAAATGTTATTGATTAAGGCCTTAGTCAATAGAAAGGGTGGAAAAGACTAAAGATAAAAAAAAATTATTAATCCAATGGCTAAGTAGAAAAAAGAATATGATACTTAACAGGATTAATAATTTTTTATTTTTACCCCTTTTTTTCCATAAAGCCTAAAGTCCAATTGTACATAAAATGATTGACTTAGGTGACAAACAAATTTATTATATAAGGAATTCCATTTTCAATAAAGAAAATCTAAATTCAAGCAATATCCGTGTTTTACGAGATTATGTGGATACTGATTTTTTCTAACCGCACTAATTTAAATGACCTTATTAACCCTTCTTATCTATAATTTATAATGTATAAAGGAAATTATGTATTTACTATAGGTCGGACCATAACGTTGCTAGTTATAAGTTTCTTTATTTTCAATTACATTCACAAAGTTCAGAATAAAAAAGTATGAAACTTTATCTTGTATGTTCAAACTAATGGCATAAGCTATTTTTTCATGATTTCCCTGATTCTGCTTCTGGTTTCTTCCATTTCCACCACTTCAAAGCTCATTAATATATATATATATATATATATATATATGTAATGCAATGAAAAGGGGTGCTTTTTGTTGGAAAGAGGGAAAGCAAGAATGGTTCATGGCTTCATGGCATGCGTTGGGGAAGGGCTGCAAGAAAGAGGTGAAATGAAATGGTAAGAAAACTACTATGAGAAGTGACGCATGTTCTCTTTGCCGTCACTGTGTGGTGAAGGTAGCAACCAAAACAACCATTTTAATTTGTTTTTGTGAATCATCCTCGAATTTTGGGCTCTTTAAAAACATGTGACTGTCCCCTATAAAATTTCAACGATTAAGGATGTGTTTGGGATAATTTTAAGGTTCATTTTACTGGCCTGCTTTGCCATTTTCCTTTAAAACCATTGGTAAGACAGCAGCAGTGAAATTGCAAGAAAACTTGGGGTAAAAAGCATAACTATTTGAGTGGTTTTGTTCAATTCAGTCTACAAAAGGAACATAAATGGCAGGAAATGAAGCATACTTTAAAAAAAATAACAATATGGTGGTCATAATTTTACATTTGCGTGTAAGACTACTGTTCTTTCAATATTTAATTACATTTAAGTTAAAAAAGAAAACCAGTCAAAGGTCCATCCTGTTGCTGCTTCTCAAGTTCCAAATGCTCATTGAGGTGTATATCTGTCTTTGCTGGCATGCAATTAATTACAGATTTTCAAGAGCAGCCATGAGAAAATTTACAGCTTTTCTTTTTTCCAGTAATAAATTTAGGGTGCAATTCTATCATCTCAACGTCAGCCAATGTCAAAAGTAATGATAAAGTCCTTCAGAGTTGCATTTACATAAACCTACTTACACAGTATGAATATTGTGAATGATTTCTTTATGATGGGACAATAATGCAATAAATGTTAGGATATATATAAAAATGTCTACAACAAAATGACATTAGAATCTGCTTTCTTGATGTCAGGTTTTTGAATTTGTCCTCTAGCTGCAAGAATCTTAAAACTTTGGCTAATGTAATTAACTTGTACAGTCATCATCCTATTACAATTTGTTAAGCTAAAGCAAGATGATCAACACAACTTAATGGCTAAAGCCCAGTATGAAGTGCCTAAAAAGGCTGTTTTCTGAACGCTCAAAAGGATTCTGGAGTTTTAGCAAACATCAAGGACCCTCTTCACATGGACTCACATGATGACATTGTTAATGAACCTTAGTATTTTGCCCTAGTTACTTGCATGCAACATTCCAGAGGAAAAGCAGTGATGGTGATGGAGCCCACCATGGATTAAAATAACCTTCAGCTACTGCCAAAAAACAAATAGCTTCTTCTTTTACCGCACTAGTTATCTTTCTGAGTGCAGTTTTTCCAATATTTGTAGCCCTAGCTCTCCTTAAAAGTTGAGCAAGCTAATTAACTATAATCCTTTGAAGAAGGAATCCGGAAAATCGGCATCAAGGAAATGTGGACCACCCAAATAAAGCCTAAGAAAAGCAACCTATTAATTTATTTAACGTTGATAATGGAGAATCAGACATCAGCAATTGAATTTGAGAGCATGTTAGCTTTCCAAGTCTAAAATGATGAATTTTTTTATTTGCTCCATGTAACTGCCGTGGGGTACACGTCTGCGGCAAATTAGGTGCCATTTGACCTAACTTTTAAAAGGTTGCACATCCTCTCCGATTAGATAATCTTAAATTATTTTGAGTTTCTAATCAAAGAACACCACATTCATCCCATTGATGGCATTCTCATCGTCTACTAAGTCAGGAGTACTTTAACGTACTCACTTGTTTGCATTTCTGATGAACTATTTGTGATGCAATCCTTAAATTATAAAACCGGTCACCAGCTACTAACATTCATCCCCTTGAAAGTGACATATAAAGTAGAAAAGAAGTAAAACTAAAGAAGAGTCTTCTCAAAGAAAGAGTCAAATTCACAAAACCCTGCCATTATCTGCAAGTTTTGATGTCTATTTCATTGTTCTAACATAAAAATTTTAATGAATACCGTTCGTTGCAACCTCTATTTCATGCTAGTTGCTAAACAACGAGTTTGTATGAGTTTTACCCCACTTTGCTTAAATGAAACTAAAGAAAATACTAAATTGAACTTCTTTCTTTTCTGACGAATAAGCTTACTTCAGAGATAAAAAAGTCAGTGAGATACTAATTAAGTACTCAAGATCTTATCCTTACCACTCCAATTCACAAATCACAACTTGGTCTTTCTTCAAAAGTTGGTTCATCTATGCAAATATGTTATGTCAATTTGTACTTTGAAGTCGAAGCACAAGGTTTTTGTAAGTCGCATAGTTGTACTGTTTTCTGTTTTTTTTTTTTTTTCTTTTCCTCTTTTTAACAAGTTTCTTTTGTTTTTGTATTAGGTTTATAGAGCTTGGACTTAAATATGTAGGTTAGCTACTACTAGGTTATTAGAGCGTGCAAACAAATATTTTTGATCCTAGGTCTATGCTTTGCCTTATATAATTTTCTCTAACACAATAAAGAACTACAATTTTTGTGTTCCGTAAGCAAAATGTAAACTAAATAATGCAAATCAATTTTCCTTCAACTGTCGGTACAGAAAACCTATAATAAATGATTCATCTACTCCCCATGTATGGAGACTAAAGATTGCTGCTCAGCAACAATAGAAAATGAAAGTAGAGAGAGGGCTGCAGTTACGATTTTATCCTGATGTCTTAATTAATGTAACAAAAGGGGGCAGCTATAGTGTTCTCTATATGTTTGAGACTATAAAATTAAAATATCTTAGCTCATTTTCTCTTCAAAGTTCTAATTGTAGTTTTAATAAGGTTACATGGAAATCCAAAATACTATATTGATGGGACCCATATATTTGTAAGAATTCAATAATGGGATCAAATCATGTTAAGGTATGTGATGTGAAGGTACTTTCCATCTATATATGATATATCTATGTAGGCCTTAAAATCGGATTTGGCTTGACTAAGGACTTGTTATATTATACATATAAATTAACAATATGAAACATTGGTTATATTTGGTGTGATAAATAGAATAATATAATAATAATTTTATATTATGTTTGGTTTGCGTCTAATTGAAAGGGATAGAATTACAATAACGATTATCATCCTCTTAGTATAGGATGATTTAATCCTCTCAAAGTAGAGAGAATTATTTTTAATTCATGAGATTAAACTCACATATCCTATTATACACTTAAAAATAATATCAATAATTTGAATTGTATAAACTTTGAGAAAGGATAATTTTAACAATAAATAAATTATCTTATCTTAATCCTTATATATATCAAACATAAGATAGGATGACATTATTTAATATAATCTTATTCATAATATCATATTATCCTATCCTATTATAATCTTATGTTCTTTATGTAATATGGTTGAAACTCACTATTTTAGAGCTTGTTACATATTCTACTACCTTATCTTCTCTTTTGGAGCTTACCCTCTATCTTTAGCATAGTTGTCTACAACAATCCCCTTTTTCAGGTTTTTTTTCTTTTTACTATAATTGTCGGATACTGTATCATATCAATGTAATTAATACTTGTCAAGCATGGAATATTTAGTCAATCATTTTTTATTATTTCTAAGAAAATTAAGACTTCTATTAGCATTGACTATTAAGACAGTGATGAAATAAAAGATGCATACCAAGCTAACAAAGTCCACACCATCAATGCAACAACAATCACCTAAATGGGTTATTTTCTTTTAACGTTTGGAAGGAAAAACAAAAGAGGAAAAACTGAGATTTTAAGTCCGTAAAATAAGTAAAGCCAATAATTGGATGAAGGAACAATGTAAGAAACAGGAAAGATAGCTACCTGAAAGGCAATTTTGATCTTTGCAAGCAAAAATTTCTCTATAATAATCACAAGCCGACCACTTTTGGAAATCAAGTTGTTGCAAAATCACAATAGAACAGACAGAAACAATGCTCAACCAATGCTATATTACTAGCAGCTACAAATTCTTTAGCTTTCTAAGGTTTCATTGCTACAATCACAT